CTAGTGGCTAGGATACCTGGCTCTCACCCAGGAGGCTCGGGTTCGATTCCCGGTACCGGAATTATTCTTTTTATTTTTTTGAAATTTAAAACCTCTTCTTTTTCTCTTTTAAAAATCAATAAAAATCAAACAAACGCATAAATATTTTTATTAAGTAAAAATAAAAATTGCAGTTACTCGTAACATTAAACAACATTACAACGAATATTACTATGGGATATCTTATAAATCGTAAGGATTAAAAATTGGCATAAAACGAAATGATTTATATCTCGTAGCCAAGAAAGTAGAATTCGAAAGTAGACACCTCATCGAATAGAATATATTTGAGGGAAGGAACGGTTGCAGATTCAACGGTACCTTGACGGTCACGTTTCTCCACGCCCTGTGATTATTGAATATTTAACGTCGGTTGCACGACGTTTGACTTCCTGATCCGATCGTGCAAACCGTAATCGGCATGATCGTGCGATTTACCAAACGGGCTGAATACCCTTTGTAGGCGAGATTTAGTGGCATCGATCCATACCACGTTATCCAATCTCTATAATATTACGTTTCCGCTTTCCATTTCGTATTGTATCGTATCGTCATTGCACACCATTGAAATCGTGCGGGTACACGAGTATAAATAGACGTATTGCGTGTGTTGGATCTTGCGAGCAAATTAATGGCTGGATCAAGGCGCTATAATTCCATGGCAAGTGAGTTACTCGTGATAACTGTATGCTATTTTGATGAGTAATACGATTCCATGCCAAGTAAGTTGATAACTGATATATTTTGATCGGTAATAGACCAATACATTTGAGAGTTTGAAAAATGTGTACAAATGGAGCAAAGATATTTTATGATTGATGACGTGTCTGATGATTGATTGAACGAATATCACAAAGAATGTTTTGTATTATAAATAGATTTAAATACCGTTGAAATGAGATTATTTGAAATATTATTGGTAATGTATTATTTTATTTTAAGATCCATTTTTAGAATTTTCAGAATATCAATAAAATCAATTTTTTCAATGATAGTATAGTGGTCCTTCGATAACAATGTACTTCGAACAATAATATAAAATTATTTATCGAATAGAACAACTAAGTTGGTCGTACAAAATAGTTTTGTTCAGGACAAATATAATCCATTCATTCGCCCTTTACATTTGAATCAGTTGCCTATATTGATCTGGCGGGTAACCAACCGTGAAAGAATCGTGCACCAGTTTGTTTAATTCTGAATCCATGATCGCAAGAAGCAAGAATTCCATACGATTCAATCGAGATTTCACAAATATAGCCAATATTATTTAATATTTTGCACAAACATTTTATCAATCGATTCATATTCAATAAATTATTAGATCAGTATATATTATATGTCAGATTAAATGTTTCTTTAAAATATCTATTTAATAGATTGATTTGAAAAATTATCTATATCAAAGAAGAAAAAACATTTTCTAAATGAATTTTAAATAGCAAACAATAGTTTATTAAATCAAATATCATAATCTTTTCTTTTTTTAATAAAATTTAAGTGCTAAGCTATAATATGGAAAAGTTTATTAATTAATAAGATTGAATATCAAATTATTCAAACATTATTTCGAAGATATTAAATGGTTAATAGATATTTATTCTCTCTAATGATGAGCTTGTTTCACGACCACGGAAACAGCGGAAATAGCTGGTTTACCGCTCGAAATACATTCAAATGCGACTGATTCGCCATTCAAAGTTAAAATATAACTCGTGATGTTACTTGTAGACGCTCTATGTGAATTGCATATAAATCGAGGATGTATACACTAATTAAGAACATTATTAATTTTAACATTGATAAAACATTGTTATGTATCGTCTTTACGTTGATGAGAATATGTTTAATTCCTGAAGAATTTATTAAATTTTATAAAAATATGTGGTGAATAAATTATAATTATATTATAATAAAATATCGTACTGAGATGTATAAAAAATATTGAATAAATGTGTAAATGTTTTGTGATATTTTATTTTTTAATTAATGATAAATTATTATTGATTATTATTAATTTAGAAAATTAATTAATTTAATTGAATAATTTAAAACAATATATTTTTAAAGGTTATATATATATTATATATATAAGTGTTATACTTAAAACAAACTTCTCCCACCAAGATCCGGTATGGTCTAGTGGCTAGGATACCTGGCTTTCACCCAGGAGGCTCGGGTTCGATTCCCGGTACCGGAAATTTATTTTTTCTCAATTTTTTCTTCTTTTCTTTTTATTTCATTTTGTAAAAATAGAAATATTTATTATTATTAAAAGAAAAATTATTTAAAAATTATCATTATTTAATATGAAGAATATATACGAAATTTAATCATGTTCCAGCATGATCCGGTATGGTCTAGTGGCTAGGATACCTGGCTTTCACCCAGGAGGCTCGGGTTCGATTCCCGGTACCGGAAATTTATTTTTTTTCTTATAATTATAAATATGCATTATTATTGTTCATACATTACCTAACCCAAAAATGGCATATTATTTAGAAAAATATTATTAATAAATGAATATTTTTATATAAGAATATATTCGTATATACGTAATCTAAGAATTCTGGAGAATATTATCATATTTTTAAATATTGCGTATATTATTGAATTTTAATATTATTGAAATTTTATATAAAAATATTAAAAGTTGTGTTGCTACATAAATTTTATCATTAATATCTCTTCAGTAATTTAATATAAATCCTTTAAATTTTATGGAGAAAAAAAAATATATATATATTTATGACGAAGAAAAATTTTTGTAGTTTTATCATATTGTAACTAGAAATTTTAAAAATAAGAATAATTTACAAAGACTTAGTAATTTAAAGACTTACTTGAAAGAAAGAGGTCTTGGAGGGCCTGGGCTGCCTGACATAAGAGGGCCCATGTTTCGGCAGCGGCAAGTCCTGTTCCCCGCAGAGCAAGCACATCTCCTGCTACTATAGCGAGACCAGGTCCTCCGTTCAAGTCGGTTTGCATCCTGCATAACAAAAAAGTAAAATTTTAGGATGAATACAATATTCTTTTTCTACCAGAACACTTTTTTCATCCTCATCTTTCTCATTCCCCCATATAACTAAACTAGGAACAATATTCCTCTTCTCTAAGGCAACCCATACATCCTTACATTTTTTTAAAAACTTTTCCAAACAATGAATCCTTCGACACTTGATAGTTATTACGTGACTTCGAATCACTAACTGTCATTCGAGTGTCTGCACAATCTCTTTCAATAGCCACATGTAGTCTAATTGTGAGTCTTCGCCATAAATCGTTCTTTTATGGCTTTTGCGTTAATTGCTTATTGCTTCCGCCAAACCTTGAAATTCATCGTTGAAAAGTTTTATAATTTATAAATCTTTTACAATTTAATGAAATCTATACGTTAAAAAAGAAAAAAAAATATTATTTTGAAGTTAAATTTTCGAATCAATATTATGAAACATATTACATTGATTTTTTTATCAATGTAACATTAAATTCCATTCACGGGAACTGTCGAGTTTTTAAGCTGCAAAATAAATAGACAAAGAAAAGTTTAACATTAATTATGAAAAGCTCAAAATTTAATATTTTTATCGTATATATATAAAATTCTTTTCATTTTCTACGAAAGCTAATTACTTTATCCCTTTCCTTATAATAAAATATACCTTCGTGAATTCTATAAATCTTGAAATAATTTAATTTAATCGCAACAAAATAATTCCTCGTTATATCCAATTTAATTCATATTATTAATCTCATTACAATCATTTTCGCAGTAACATAATTTTCTCATTCAAGTATTTTATTAAACATAATAATTTAATTTGAATTTTAACACTCAACCATGATTTCATATACAATAAAAAAAGTTAAGAATAATTACTAATAACTTTGGCTTCCATATAATAGCCTTTATAATTTTCCAGTTTTCACATGTATCTATTGTTAACAATGTTAAAGCGTGTCGGTTAAACCACACATTCTTGGAGTTTCGAAACTGCATACTCTATGGCCCCTAATGTACACGACGATTTAATGGACAAGTGAATTTTTATAAATTCCAAACATACATAAATTACGAGTTTAAAACCAGAACTAATTAATTTTTTAAACCATAAATTTAATTTGAATAAAATTTGAAACCAATTATACCTTTTATTCCACGATTATCTGCGTCAATATAATTCTTGGCACAACACGTGACAAAAGAAAACAAGCGGAACGAAACGGATCTTTAATTTATCTTTTATTGTATCGTGAAGATCCATTCGTTCAACCGATTGTTGGCAAAACGTGGTTAAAGAATCGCGAACACCGATCGGGATCAAATTAATTAAGAAAAGACCGCGTTTCAGTCTCGTAAAGATTGAAATGGAGCGGAAGCGAGGAGACGAACAAAAGGGATTGAAATAATCGAAGCTCGTGGCCAACAAACCCGATACATTCAATATGCACGCCCCGGTCTGTTTACATTTGTTTGTTCTCGGCTGGCTGCTACGACACGTTGCTTCAATCCAGTTCAACCGTATTGTTGCCCAACTTGTTTCGTGCTAGACGAGGGCTTATTGTGTTCACGTTTGAAAAATCGATGAAGGATCTAGAAAGAAAAATTTTAAAAACCAACGAACGAACGAACGTTCTAGCACGTTGTGCTTGTGAAAGACTTTTATATTCTTGTCTGTGTTTGTTTGCCCCATATTTTTTCCAACTTAAAAATTTTTACCGTTTTAATTATTGGCCGAGAGGCCATCAATTTTATAAAAAGAAGAAAGAAAACTTGAAATATAATATTCGATTTTAATTAATTATGAATCATTTCATTTTAATATTTTACGAAGTACTTTTCGAAATTTCTATGTGTTCTTAATTATTTTGATCAACTTTCATCACGTTCCAAATTTTAATTTCAACAATATTTCCAAAATTTCATTAATTCAAGTATATGAAATTAATATTATTAATAAAATACGAGCACGTACTTTTCATATTATCTCCATTATTACAAATATGTTTTCATTTTACATTATAATATCAATAAAAGTACAATGCACAATTTAAATTAAATATACAAGCTCGTGGTCGTTCCATTTCTATTTCTCTAAACGAAATATATAATCATTTTATAATTAACAACCGCTTAACATTTCATCTTAACTCTTTGAACCCAAGTCTTCTGAACACATTCGTGACATTATTACGAATAAACGTGACGAGTATATGAGTAAGGCGACTCGTATATGGCTTAAAGCTTCCTCCAATGTGTGGTCTTAACTCGAAATTGCTTTGAAGGATCCGTTTAGTTACTCTAGAAAATGTGTATGTGTCTGTCGTTTCATGGAATAATTGAGAGTACGTATGCATTTGGGAAAAGCCACTGGAATGCCAACTGTGAAAGAGGAAACGTGTGAAAACGATAATGTAAATTTATAATTGTTTTTAATTTCTCGTCGCCATGCTTTGTTTAATATTCAAATATCGAATTTATGACGCATCTACAAAGATGATCTCGTTTCGTTAATGGTTTATTTATCTTTTTTTTTTATTTGCATTTGATGTACAGAATAATTTGATAATTTTCGTATTATCGAATATCTCTGTTACTTTTAAAGATTTGGAAAAATTTTACGTATAAATAATAGGAAGGAAACATCTGGTGTTAAAGAAGAAGAACATGAATCGAAATTATCGAAATTAGAAAAACATTTTTTGCTTGTTACAATAAAGGATAAGTCATAAATTTGAGTCTCGACAGATATTCCAAAGTATAATTGACTTAAAATCTTAAGAGCGAATTTTGTTGAAAGATTTGGAAGAAGAATTCCAAGATCACTCGACGAATTCTAAGAAACACTTCACTTAAGAGTGGATTCTTTGAGAGAAAGTTTGGAAGGATCCTGATTGTTTTCAAAAGGTCCAGATCAGTTTTCGTCATAAAGAAAATAGTAAAAAAAAAAACCACTTAATAATTATGTTATAGAATATAGAATAATTATCCATCTCTACAAAGACGAAATTAACAAAATAATACATTAAAATAATACATTATACGTAGAAAAATTAAAATTAATTTTTTACAAATTTTTAATTTCGATTTTTATCGTAGTGAGGTCGCGTTCATACATAGAATTTCGATGCATCTTATCTTGTCTCGATGAGACGTCCGAAATAGCGAATATCCGTAGATCGAAAATGAAAACTCGTTGGCCTCGGTCGGACCGATCGATTTTTAATCAAACGCAGAGCACCTTGCATCCGCCAGTAACACGCTGTTTGCACCGGTGCGCGCAGATTTGCCTATTGTAAATCTTCGGTTGAGAGACAATCGACAGGTAACCCGATCGGTGTGAAATAATGGATGTCGACCACGCTTCCAAGTTGCTATCTTTTGCTAGAAAACTGATACCCTTTTATCGATACCTCGTGGTTCACCGTTCATTCACTGCAAAATTCCTTGAATAATAATTTTTCCATCCTTTCCAATTCCAATACAATATTAATATTCCATACGATTAAAGAAATAGAAGATTAATCAACTAGAAATTTGTTTCTCTTGATTCGATGCGTAAATTTTCCAAAAATATCCAATTGTGTTAAACATAAATAAAAAAAAAAGTAATTATTTATATTTTCTTTCTACGAACAGATGTTATTTCATTCCATTAGAAATTATTACAAATCACAGATACAAATACGCACCAATGTCTATAATTCATCTCTTAATATCAAAAATTACTCGACTTAATTAATTATTATTACAATTATGATAACTTTAATCGATTGAGAAAATTAATCGCCAAACAATTTAATAATCCAACCTTGACCAACCCGAAACGTATTCGACCAACCAACGGCGATCAGCCTATAAATAACGGCGAACTTACTAATTCATAGACCCCCGATCTCCCCCCAAACTTTCACGACAATCGTGAATCCTGCAGGCCGGATAAACTTTCGATCACGGAAAAACTTTTCCACCGATACCGATCATCCATTCTTCTTTCCGTGTATTTGCTTTAAATGCAAACGCTGGAAACTTATCGTGCAATCCTTCCCTCCCCCCCTCCAGCTCTCCCA